ATAATAAGATTTTAAAAATGGCGCGGTAATGCACAAATATTCAAGTACCAATCAGGGAGCTGATACATCACGCATAGAATTAAAATTATTTAAATAATCATTTATAATAAAATCATTTTAAAACAAATGCAAAATTAAATTGATTTTTAATATTTAGAAGCCATAAATAATATTTTAAACACGGAATTTATGCATAATAAAACGCATTATTTTAAAAATAAAATGACAACAAAATATCGGTTACCATAAATAATTTATCCAGCAATGGGTTTACCATAAGTCGTATTACTCGTCAAAAGAAAAATCGCCAAAATCCGTGCAACCGTCTACCAAAGTAGCACCCCATATTTGAGCAAATGGGAGCATTAACATAAAATGCTCATCGTTATGAGCACTTAAATAGAAAAAAAAATTGAAACTTAATTCACAACGATTATTTCATGTCAGTATGATATAGTTCTATTTTTCATTCATTTTTAAAATATAAACTCCAAACTCCAGTTATTTTTTTTTCTTATGAATTTCCTCTTTTTGCAGATAACCATAGTATCTCACTTATTATTCTTATTATTTCAGAAGAAACACATATGTTAAATATTTCATTAAATTCTGAAGAAAGGTTTTACAGCACATAAATGCAGATTCCTTTAAAAATTTTGAAGTAAAAACGCTCGTCTTGCAGAGTAAGCTGTGATGAAGGACCTCCATTCTTTACTTAGAATTTTCATCTTTTAAAATGTATAAATCTGAAATCATCAAAAGCAAGCATATGAAAATTTTTAAGAGAATTTTCTAGGAGATTTATCATTTTTAAAATAAAAAAATCTGATGTGTACACCACATGACTTCCTTGTAAGGAATATTAAATTATACGCATTTTTTCTTGCATTTTATTTAAACTTATTAGATTGAATTAAACCTACTTCGCCGACAGCGCATAAACCACAATAGAATAAATGCATTCTTTAAAATTCATTTTGTTTACCATAGCGACACTCTGGCGCTAGGTTTACTTAACAGTATTATATTTCATTCATATTATAACTCAGAATGCTATGTCTATGTCTATGTCATAACACAATTAAAAGGCAATCGGCCTAGTGCGGCGTTTACCAATATATAATAAGTAGGGTGTCTTTAATGATGAGGTGAATCCAGTAAGATGGTACGTACTTTTTGCACCTAGTGCAGAGTCTCTAGAAGAGAAGTAAACGTGGCCCCACGATGTGAGGATCTGCAACTTGAGAATTTCTGCCGCTCGCCTGTGCTTGTCTTGAGAGAAGCTGCGAATTAATCTTTATCTGCACAGTTCAGAATCATCTCAATGGCTTGGAAAGCTAGGCAAAGTTTCTGCTTATTTGATTTAGCTGATTTAATTCTCTGAACTATTGTGGTTATTGATTTCATAAGAAAAAGGGTTTTCTGATCTTTGAAAATGTTAATGATTTCTGCTAAATTTTCCTGTGGGTTTTTCTGCTTAACTTTGTCACTGTAAAGGTTTTTAGGCATTTCTTGATTAGTTTGGCCTGAAGCTTGAATAAATTCGGGGAAGTCATCTTTAGTAGGAATTTCTTGTGTTTTTTCTATCTTCTCTAAATGATTGAATCTTTTTCTGTATACCTTACAACCATGATAAGAAGAAACGTGATTTTCTTGACAGTAAATGCAAGTTGGTTTTTCATCTGGTTTTAATTTACAGGTATTGATTTGTGATTTGTCTGCACTTCAGCACCTGACCTTTTAAAGCAGTATTTTGGGAGTGCCCCGAACTCCTGGCATTGAAACATTGAATTGGGCGTTTTCTGGGGCTGATATTTTTCTATTGTGATTATTGAATCGAAATATTGTTTAATTGGTAAATTTTCTCTCCTGCAGAATTTCTTTTTAGTTCAAGGAAAAATATAGGTAAATGGATAATTGGTCTTCTGCTTTCTTCGTGAATTGCTTACTTTAATTATAGGGAAGCTCTGCGTTCTAAGTCTGCGTGAATTGCTTGCTCTGTGTAGGATCTTGGGATATTCTTAAGTATAACTTTAATGAAGAGGCTGAGGAATTTTGAAACGTATGAAAAACTAATCGTGTTTCATGAATTTATCAATCTAGCTTTATAATCGGTTCGATGGTAGTGTAAAGGAAAATCTGTCTGGCTTTGATTGTAACTTCAAATTCGTTTTTACATATCTCTCTGAGCATTTTGTCAATTTCAGGCCAATCAACATCGTTTTCTGGAATGGACTAATAGGGAAATTTCGTTTTATTTTCTGCTTATTCGTGTTGTAGTCATCTGCGTTTCATCTGTAACTACCATATCTTCGTTATTTTCGTTAAGAGTTCAAATCTGTTATTTTGCGGAATATCTGCTGGTGGGATAGACTCGGCAATTTCGCGGTTTTCTTTGGAGTTTGCCAATCCTTGATTTATTGTTTTATCATCTGTTTTAGAATTCGCGAGCTGCGGGGTGTTCTGAATGCTTGCTAAAATGAATGCTTTTGTTGAATTTCTTGTACTTTGAAGCCTTTCTCGCTGGGGAGGAGCTAATGTCTTTCCCCTCAATACAGTTTAATTTTCGGAGATTTAGTTTTTATTTGAGTGAGAGATCTTGGGGTTAGTCGGAAGCTGGGTATTAAAATATTCTTGCGAGATAGCTTCTGTAAATTAGGAAAACCTTTTCGTGTTTGTAACTACTGCTTCAAAATTGAGGGGAGGGTTGAATTTCTTAGTATTATCGGCTATTTTCTTGCTTCTGCAGTTTTCTTTGCTTTTCTCTGGGATTACTTTTTAGTTAGAAAATCTTACTTGACGCCGAGTAATCTGAAGCAATTACAGGCATCTCTTTGATGTAGTCGATTTCTGATAATTCGAATAGTAGATCATTCTCGCTATCTAATCGTGAAAGTCGAATGTCAAGGAATTTTGCCTCTATGGGTGATCCGCTATTACTGGTCTATCGAGGAGAACAAGCAAAAATAATATTACCAAAAATCAAGAAGAACAGTCGTCGTCGCAAGAGAGAAACTCACATCTCTCCTTCATAGTTCTATCGCACTCTCTCATCACCAGAATGATAAAATGTATATCATTTAAAGAATTATTAATCGTTCCCACAGTTCTATTCAAATACTATAATAAAGTAGAACTATGTATAAAGAAATAAGCAAAAAAAAGAAAAGAAACAGTTTTTCAGACGATTTAGTATTTCTCATTCAATTATTCAGCTCTCCTTCGCGACAAGGCAAAATACAAACAACTCAAAATATCTGCATTAAAAATTACGAAGTAAATCTAACACTTATTTCCTCTAAAAAATTCCCGAAAGGATTTAAGCGTGATTTAATTCGCATAATTAAATGAAGGCGTTCTTTTTTGTGTTGTGAGCTAATTTCTTAGTTGGCAACAAATCCGCTACTCTCCTGTTTCAAATGTAAAAATGGTCGCCATAAAAACAGGCTTATCGACAATTAAAACACTTTAAAAATGCTGATAATTCTAAAATATTGCACACAGATTTACTAAAAGCATAAAATTCTTATTGGAAGATAAAAACATAATTTCAATCGTTTTTTAAGAAAAAAATACAATTTACAAAATATAAGAGTAAAAGAAACTGAGATCACTGAGCCGGGTAATAGAGTGGATATATATATAAATATATTTATATACGTTTGGTGCGGCCGATTGAAAAGATAAATTTGTATGTAGGATGCTATAACATACCTGTTATCACATGTAGATGTCATTTACATGTTATCTACATGTTATAACATAAATACGTTATAAACATGTAGTGTTATAGCAGTCCTATATACAAATTTCAAAGTTCTGGTATCGTTTTGAGTTATGCGAGTACGTACGTAAGCACGAACGTACGTACATACGTTCGTACGACGCCACGAAAATTCTCTTCAGAATTCCTTTTAAAGCAGTTTTATAATTTTTTTAAAGGAAAAGAGTATTTTATTCTGTCCTTACGTACAGATATCACGCAAAAACATCGTTAAATTGCATTCGATAGCGGTCAAAATGGATATTTTCGTTGAAATAGGCTGCCTGAAACTTTTCGCGATTACAATACTTCCTTTTTACTTCGTACAAGGAAGTAAAACAAATGGTTTCCTAACCTCGTTTTATATTTCTTTGCGATATCTTGCCATATTGTTCGAGAACGCACTACAGTATTAGATCAAATCTATCTATAATATCCACATACCATTTATTTAATATGAGATCAAAAATGCGAAACTGATTTTTCTAAGAATTTGAGTCTTAATTTCTCTGGAAAAAATATGGTATTCCTAAACTTTTGCGAATACTTTTCACTACTAATTCATCTTTTACTTTTTAAAAGTCGTTAAATTTCTGTTTATATAACTATCATAAATTATAATGTTTTGTAAAAAAAAAATGAAATAAAGGTGCTATTTATAAAAAAATAAAAGTAAAATAAAAAATATATATAATTAAAAGATTCTAATTTAACATAATTCTAATTTTAATATTATTACTGCAAAGCTGGAGATGTCCCAACATTTTTAGAACTCACACATATATCAGCAGCAATCACAGAAAACTCTTTTAAAACATCATCCGTTATTTTTAGAATCAAAAGAACAGGATTCATTTAAATCAGTGAAATAAACCAAATCTAGAAACCTGCTTCTAAGGTTTTCAACTCAGCAGTCCATTAAACATGTATAGATACTCATATTTTAACGGGTGTTTAAATCATCGTATTGATATGAAATTTATATTATAATTTTATGAATACATAAATAACGTTTCTAATTATAATTTAAAATGGCTATTCTTTAAAGAAATTTATCAGTATGCTTCTTTTATAAAGCGTTGTTCTTCCTTCTTTTAATTCTTTTTATTCCCTTTTTTAACATTCTAATGGATTACATACTCTGTCTTAAATACTTAATATACAGTTTAAAAGTTGCTTTTCGCAAGTAAAATTTGTTTTGAAAAATGAAAACTTCATTAAAAGAATATAAACTTACTTTGCATTGCAGTCATTTGATTTGGAGAAAAGTCGTCTGCTGTAACAGGTCTTCCCCTTAAGCAGAGTGACTGAAGATCGTTGGGTCCCAACATCGGCATCAGAAATAACCAATTTGAAATAGAGTTTTGATATTATTCTCTAAGATCTTTAGAGATTGTTTTAGCTTTTTATTTTGACGACTTCAACTTCTGAACCCATAACAGCCTCAAGAACAGATTCATGGTTATCTCACCGGAAAATTATTAACTAGTTTACCAACAGAAAGTAATTTCATTTTTTAAGTTCTGTTTAGAATTTTCAGTGAGTGGTAATCGTCACTACAATCGTTCCAAGACAACATTTGATACTAATGCCTAAATACGTGATACTGAAATTTAAATTATAAACGGTTTTTAAGTGCCTCCATATTATAAAGTTCATTGAAATTTAGATTTAGAAAGACATTTCTGAACATTTATCTGAAAGAATTGTCACGTCTGCTGAAGAGCGCGTCTTTTGCGCACCTGATAAAAACTGCAACCGATTCCCTCAGCGAACGATACTAATCTACGGCCTCTTAGGGAACGATCGTCTGCTCAATTGCTCTAAGTGCATTTCGCTCAGAAATTATTTCTCGACCGACTAAGCATGAAATGGAGGGGTGATGCGCAAAGTGAAAATTGACACAAAAAGTGCACTTATATTAATGTTCTCGTTTTAAAAGTGGAATTTCCGTCTTTTCCCCTAAATTATTCCTGTGAGATTATTTGGGCATGGAATTTTGTATTTTCCATTTGTGCTCATAGTCGTTATTTTTCGTGGATTCTCATGAGCATTATCTTTCATGGATATTCACAGATTCTAGGATTCTTTTAATTGTATGACATCAAAATTATCATAAGCACAACATTTAGCTTTAAATTTGTTCCATTCCCCATTTTAATGAATAAGTGCATTCTGTTTTTCCTACTTATTTTTGTTGATCGTATTTTCTGTGTGGTTTTGTTTTATTGATTTTTCATTCTTTCAATTATCATTCCCCTTTATTTGTATGATTTTTTCTAACAAGAAAATTGATTTACAAAATAGGACGAACGAGATAAAATCTCTTAAGACGACAACCCCCCTGGCCTATTTTTACGTCCTCGTACGAAGTAAAGAAAATATTGCAATGGCGGAAATTTTCAGGTATTATACTCGTATTACAACGAAAATATCCATTTTGACCGCTCTCTTATCATTGAAACGATGTTTTTGCATGATATCTGTACGTACGGACAGAATAAAGGATTCCTTTTTTCTAAAACGGATTGTAAAATGGATTCACAGGGAATTGTTTCCTGACGTCTGTATAGGTACCTATATGTAATAATAAAATTCCATAGTCAAAAATACACTTAAATTTCTAACTGTATGTTCTTTTAATTTTTAATGGCGACGGTCTCTTATTTGAAAGTACGTTGAATTAAATCCACAGCCCCGTAGTCAAGTTGTTTTTCCCACCTTTTTTACACGTACAGTTATAGAATGTTCTGGAGATATTTAAAGCGAACTGGAATGGCTGACGAGGCTGACGTCATTTCTTGGAAGCTCCGCCTTTCCAGGACTCGCAAAGGAATATCGGGGTCTTTTCTTTAATGTAACGATGCAGTAAACTTCATACAAAATGTTATTAGTAATTCTTTTTTATTTACTCCGGAGATCTTAATTTTTGTAACTGCTATTTTCTCCTGAAAATATAATAAATGGATCCTGTTTTTTAAACTTATCGTCTGATAATTTAAGCTACGACTACATCTATGATTCTTCACCAATCTATTTATTCCGGACAAAAGCTGGTACATCACATATATATATATATATATATATATATCTGAGTGTATGAACAAAAAGCATCTAAAGTTAATATTAAATTGGAATCAAAGCAAGGCAATTCATCAAGAATATCAATAATTTCAACCGTGTATAGGAGGTTTTACACAATATCTAAACAAATTAAAATTAAAATAAAATTTTTTATTAGAACAAACTGCAAAAAATAATAATGCGAAAGAAAAAATATACAAATTTAAAAATTTATCTCATTTTGCTGAATTTTCAATTCAGAACTCATCAGGGTAAAATGAACTAAAGCTTCACAGAAGTCGATTAATATGTTTCGAAAACATGTTTCGTTCTCCTCGTTCATTTGACATCAAAACCCGAAAAAGGTTTAATTAAATTTTTATTTCAGATATTAGAATTCATATAAGACCGAAAATCGAATCTCAAATGAACCAGAATTTTCAATACACGTTTTCGAAACACTTGGAAAAAAATAAAACATAACATTGTACCAAATTGACCATTCAAAAAAAAAAAAAAAAAAAAAGATTCGACCAAAACCATTTTATGCAAATCAGAAATTCAAAAGCAAACATGTAAATAAAAAGCAAAACAAATATACTTTAATACAAACTGGCATTTAAACAACACTTAGAAACTGGAACGTAACCGATTATGCTAAACTAAGCTCTTAATACCAAGTAAACGAAAAACATTTGATAGGGAATTTCTATGAGTAATAAAATCAAATTTGTGTACTAAACAGCTAAGAACTGAAAACCTATTTGAAACAAAAATTGAAAAAATGCTAACTTACTGAATTCTTAGGGTGACCTTTTTAATGCAAACTAATCGAATTCTGAAAACAACCAAAGTGAGTTCCTTGCATGTGAAAGTAGAATTCAGAGCTGGAATCGTAAAGAATTCATAGTTCCAAGAATTCGTAGTTCTTGGAAAAAGTATGTGATAAGTTTCAGTGTCCGATAGCAGAACTAGGTATTTTAACATGTGTTCGAAATGTCCTATCCAGTTAAACTTTGTGGGAGAGGGGGGTGCCAAACGTTGGGTGCAGTCTGTAAAAATTATTACATATGAGGAGAGTGATCGTCTGCTTCAAAATGGCGGCGTAAGAATTTTCTTGAAGATACTGTCCTCTGTAGAATTTTAAAACGCAAAACCCGAACTGTCTCAAAGTTGAGGAAAAGGAAAAATATTGGTTATGAAAGATAAATGCCTTCACGTAATCGTGGTACAATACGTCTTTGAAATTAAGAACCCTATTTTTTAGTAACAGCAAGATTTGTCAGTCAATATATAAACCAAGTTATTTACAAAATAGTAGAAAGATAGTATAAATAATGATTAAAAGGGAATATAACCAAGATCTTTGTACATATTTGCATTAAATTTCTTGTCGCAATCATCCAACTATCACCTCCGATAAAGGTTGAAGTAATAATTATCATATCACTTTAGATGAGAAAATTTTAAAAATTAATATGATTGCATTTAGCCTTTATGTTTGAAACTCCATAAAACTAACTTTCAACAAGGAGCTATTAATTACCTAGATTTGAAAATTATCAATTTTAAAGATATTAAAATTTACAACACGAAATCACTAACTTAGTCAAAATCCTCTTAGAGAATAAAAATCCTCTATTCAAAATTTCTATATCTTTAAAGAAAGCTGGTATTAATTACTTTTTTTTATAATTTCTCGCCTAAAGTGATATGATAATTATTACTTAAACTTTAATCAACGTTAATAGTTGGATGGCTGCGATAAGAAATTTAATTTAAATATGTACAAAAATCTTGTTTATATTCCCTTTTAATTATTTTTCATACTATCTTTCTACTAATTTGTAAATAACTTGGTTTATACATTAACTGGCAAAACTTGATGTTACTAAAAAAATGGGGTTCCTAATTTCAAAGACGTATTGTACCACGATTACGTGAATACTTTTACCTTTCATAACCAATATTTTTCCTTTTCCTCAACTTTGAGCCAGTACTGCTTTCGCGTTTTAACATTTTACAGAAGACAACATCTTTTAGAAGTTTCTTATGCCGCCATTTTGGATCGACGATTATTTTCCTCGTCGGTAATAATTTTTACAGAGCACACACAACGTTTGGAATTCCCCCCACACACACAAAGTTTAACAGGATAGGTCATTTCAAACACATGTTAAAATATTTAGTTCTGCTATTGGACACTTTGAACCTTTCACATATTTTTTCCAAAAACTACAAAATTTCTGCTTCTCCAGAGCAGCTCTAACTTCTACTTTCATATGCAAGGAACTCAGTTTGGTCGTCTTCAGAATTCAGTTGATTTACGTTAAGAAGGTCGTCTTAAGAATCCAGTAAGTTAGCGTTTTTTCGATTTTGGTTTCAAGTATATTTTCAGTTTTTAGATGTTTAATACTCAGATTTTGATTTTATTATTTACAGAAATTCTTTATGAAAAGTTTTTCGCTTACTTGGTATTAACAGTTTAATTTAGTAATTATTTATTTAATTTTTAGTGGAATTCAATATTATGCTGCATGAAAGAAATGTAAATCGTTTAATTATCTAACTAAACTTTAAAAGCAGCAACGGATATACAGTGTCTCAAAAAAGTGATGGGACACTTGTGCTTTACAAAAGGAAACTGCAATAAAATAAATTTAAAAAACATGTAAGATTTTTTGTGGGTGTGTTTCATACTTAAATTTAGTAACAATTATTACATAACATACATTTTCTCAAAATATTAAAATATTAATTTAATAAAAATACAATTGTTTAGAACGGGAAAAAATGGCTCACATAAGTGATGGGGCACTTACTTTTCCATCAAATATTTATCCAAAAATTTTACTTCTTAAAATGTTTTAATATTTTGTTGGATTTCCTTTTATTTTTAAAACGTGATTTAATCTTCTTGGGATGGATTCGACTAATTTTTTTGTGATTTCTGGAGTGATTTTACCCCATTCTTCTTGAAGCAATGATTTTAATTGTGTTTTTGTGGTGTGTTTCATACTTAAATTTAGTAACAATTATTACATAACATACATTTTCTCAAAATATTAAAATATTAATTTAATAAAAATACAATTGTTTAGAGCGGAGCAGAAAATGGCTCACTTAAGTGATGGGACACTACGTACTATGCAGCAAAAATCGTCTGAAGTAAGCAATAAAAATATCTTTTGGGGTATTTATTTTTACTCAAAAGCAATTGCCAATAATTTATAAAATCGTCTGCAGTATTTCTCTCCAGTTTTGTTTTGGAATTTTTGTGTTTTTTAGCTCTGTGCAGCCATGAATGCTAAACGAAAAGAAATTCGAAATGGAATTCGAAAATTAGTTATTAATTTGCATATTGAACGTGGAAAATCTGTTAGAGAAACTACTGAAACAGTTAACTTCAGACATTCAACAGTTTTCAATATCATTAAACGATATAAAAAGAATCATATGATTCAGGATAAAAGAAGACCTGGCCGACCATCAAAGCTATGCAATGGAATAAAGCGAATTATCGTTCGAAAAATATTTTTAAAAAAAATCTCCAAGAATGAAGTGCTCCTAAAGTTGCTGTCTGATTTACAAGCATTATATGGAGTAATTGTTAATTCCTGAGACTATTAGCAAGAGTAATTCGATCTACTGGATATCACGGTAGAGCAGCCAGGAAAAAATTCTTCATAAGTGAAAA